TATGAATCAGAGAATTTAATACGCAAACCAATACTTTTTGAAAATCGTCTATTCACAGTAAAACGCGCTTCCACTGAGCAAAATACAATATAACTCTCAGTATAAATGTATGAGCCGTTTGAATTGTGCGAGGGTTGATTTTGAATAAATTGAAAAGGAAATTCCACCACCTTCCAAAGGATGTCTTGAAATTGTTGATGTTTGCCATCTGACAGGTGGCGAGTGAGCGAAAAGCTTTTCTAAAATGTTTCTATCAAAAGCTTTGAGCCAACAGAGCAAACCTTTTCCTATGGTGGAAATTTTATTCGTGCAGAAGGGTTTGCCGAGAATCGAGTACTGTATATATCAGTGCATAAAAATTTACTAATTTCCAAAAAACGTGTCCATTTTCATTATTGTCAATTAATATATAAAATATATTTCAATATTCTTAAATTAATAAAAACAAAAATGCGCATATTCGTTTTTTATAAAGATAGTTATGGAAAAGTGTGTGTGTTTTGGTATAATCAGTGATTGTGTTCACCACAGAAAAAAATCCGTCAGCCTATCCTTGGTGTATACGTTACAAAAGCGATATTTATGTGTATGGTCTTTACATTTTTGCTGATACAATTCCTTCAATATCCTGTAAATTAATGCCTTTGATGATCTAAACTAGTAGTGTAATAACAGTTGAAAAAGTATATCGAAATAACTATTCAACATTCTGGCAAAAACTGTAGTGCACTACACAGCTAAGTTCCTGCAATGACAATGCGATTCCTTTAAGGTACTCAGTTCAGCAGACAGCCTTTAATCGTGTCTACTCATTTTTTATTTGAGCAATTCTCTTAAAAGTTGTGTTAATTTATAATAATTATTTTAATTCTCCGAAATAGTACAGATCTAATTTTAGCAGTTAATAATGATTTTATAGACTATACCCAAAAAATAAGCATGTACATATAACTTCCCATAGACACATATAAATGGGGACTTGAAATTTAAAAATTCGCATTAGCTCAATGCTTGCAAATGTGCGGAATAAACAAAAATATATAATAATAATTACAAAATATATACATATGTATATATTCTAGTAACAATTGAAGAATTAGAAAACGAAAAAATCAAAAATACATAAATAAATAAATAATCAAACAAAATCTACTAATACTTGTATGGTTCCTTTTGTCTAAACAGTTCAAAAAAAAATAACTCAAATGGTTCCTTACTATATTAAAAAATTAAGATCGGCGCTCTATCAACATTGTTTGTCATAGTTACTTTCAAACATCACGTGCATACTGCAAGCCCCTTCAATCAACGTATGTGTTCTTTGAAATGGAACGTATGTGGCGGAAAGTTAATCACAGTTTTGGTGGTCGTTCGTCAAAAACAGCAACCGTCGCACAATCTGCTGACACAACAAGTTCAGGGGGAGGTATTTGCGATGGCACCATGGGAATGACAGCTGCGAGTGGAAACAACACGGGCAACATGCCCTCCAGTACTGCCACTGGTCGTCGTTTGGCAGCAAGCGGTCTAGTTACGGTAGGCAGTGGACCCACAACAGCTACTGAGGTAAAGAATATACCATCGCAATATCCAAAATCACTGAGCCAACACGTCCTCCATGGTCATGCATCATCTGATCGCCGTAGACGACGTCGTCGTAAAAGTCGTTCGCGCAGAACTGGAGTCAGTTGTGTCGGAGGAGGCGGCGGTGACAATATGTCGTAAGTATTCATTGGATTACTTACGTTTTCGTTACGAATAAAACTAAATAAAAATATTTTTAGATCATCTGGTGGTTTTTACACAATAAAAGACTCTTCTGATGGCACAATTGGGAGTCACCGTCATCACCGCCAATTAAGGCTTTCGTCAAGCCGTGTAATGGCTACCTCTGCGCCAAGTGGCACAGTTATGATGTACCCTAATACAGGTCGGGAAGTGGATTCTATACAAACAGCAACTTGTACTACCACTACAGCAACAGCAGCAGCCATATCAGCTACTCCAGACATATCGTTGCGACAACGCGCCGTTGCGAAACTTCGCATGTTCAATTTTCACCTTAACTGGGATTTGCACATGACTCATTGCAAGCCATGCGGGTACGCACAGTAGTTAATATGAACTTGGTACATAATCATAACGAATCTTGAACTCAATATATAAGGCATAGCTAATCTAATGCTTAATTAGTATTTTCGAGCATCTTTTATTTAAAAATGTGTACATACGAACGCATTTGCCTTTCAAACCCTCTTAAGATTACATCAATAATTTCCTTTGTGCAACAGTGTAACATCTAGCAAAGTAAAGGTTTTAAAACAATTAACACTTTTCGTTACAGTTACTAAAGTATGGTTATAGACAATATGATCCCCATGAAACCAGTAAAAATGCTAAGTTCATATGAAAACTTTCATTGTTTCAAATAATTATGTACTTCATTACTTGTTGAAATACTGAGATCTTATTACACTTTATCTCATTTGAAATAGCCCACGACTTGGAGGAGGTGGCAGTGGTAATATTATAATGCGACGGTTATGCCGGAATCGACGACATGAAGACAACGAACTTTATCGCTCTAATAGCTTCAAATTCGAAAGATTCGAACGAAAGGAGTGTATCGACGAACTAACAGATACAATGAAAAAACAGGTAACATATTAAAATTTAAAATGAATTGCAAATATTAAGTATTTATTTTAAATATATGTATAAAATTAAAGGAGAGCCTGTTATGCTACACATATGTATATCACTAAATATGAATATGATACTAATTTCGGATGATTTCGTGAGATGGCTGGTCAATCTCACAAAATATATAGAAAAACACTTTTATTAATGCCTTTCTAATGCCGCTTCGAATAAAAATGCTGTGATGGTAGATATTGAATCGATGGTGAATACACGTTGGCTTTGTTTTGAGAACCTCTGCTAGATAAAGTTCCTCCAACACCATTCTGATCATGCAAGGGCGGAGGTGTTGGTAAATGATCACCTTCTGCATGAAATCCATTTTCATCGGCTCTATAATTAATGGTATATGTACGACCATCATCTCCTGTGTAAGAATAGGAACCTTGCACGTTTAGTGAGCTTTTTGGTTTGTTATGAATATCACCCGACTCAACGCGTTGAATACCATTTGCAGTTTCGAATCTATTTGGATCAATTAAATATTCATGTCGAATGAGTATAGATCTTCAGTTTTCTGATTAAGAATGTTACCCAAAATTATAACTTCCGCTTGAATCGCTTACGTAGTCCTGTCTGACGATAGGTATATGCTTTGTTGCAACATACCTTGTTCGTCCACTATCTGTACCATGTTCGTATTCTGTAACACTCGGCGCATCATTCACTCTCTTATAGTGCAAGTTTCTGTCTCGATGAGATGCCAAATATTGGCGAGAGGGAACACCAATATTTCCAGCCGGTAAATATTTTAAGGAAGGCTGAGCTAGGCTCAGAACTTTTGAAAATAACACGTACTCGTACAAAAAAAATAAACCAATTAGCTAAATGAGATTATTAATTTGTATATTTATATAAAAATCTTTATATTAACATTTTACTTACCCCTTTCATTTTTGAAAATAATTAATATCTTATATTGTTATTTACAACTGGCTAATAAAAATGTTTTGGTTGCTTTGCATCTGACGGGAACTTTGAAGAGACTGTCGATTGTAAACTATGCTGTACATTCTTTTATAGCAGAATATCGAAAATGGCATAGGATTATCAAATTATTCTTCGTTCATTTAGCTAAATTTCAAACCGTTTCTTTTTTATTTGTCAGTTGATTCCACCAATACTCTAACATCTCAACAACAAGAAGTCATACAATTTAATACGAAGAAGTCTTCAAACGTATTATATAATATAAAAACTCTTTTCTGCAACTATTTTTAAATATAGAAATAGGTATAAGTGAATAACTAATTTTGTTTTATGACTAATCTTAATCTCAGCGTTTTTAAAAACATTGAATTAATCAATCTTTGAAATTAAACGCGTTACTGAATTGAGTTAATCAATATATATGAGCATACATACATACAAGCACATTATTATATGTAATTAGTAAATATAATTCGACAATGAAGTCGGTACGCTATAATTATGTACATATGTACATGCAATATACAGCCAAACGCGGTAAAGTTTAGCAATCTCATTTAAATAAATCTAATTTAATGTCTCATGCATTTTGCTTAAAAAAATATATTTAATTCTTCTGTTTCATTTCTTTAAGTTCTGCTTCATATTAAGTAAAAATATTAATTTTATAAACCTATGGCGCTGCACAAAAAGTTTACAACTTTTTACGTTTCACTTGATCAGGCTAAACTGTATTTTTTATTACTGTTAATAAGATCAAAAGATCAGTGCTATTATTAGCATCTGCTCTTAAGAATTTAGAACTTTATAATTGGCAAACAAGTCAAAACTATATTATGCATTATTAATCATTGTCGAACACACGCTTTTCATTTTTGGGCAATCCCCGTTTTTTCTTACTGACTGTCCGTTTTAAATTGATGTGGTTTGGTTTGAAAAAGTGAGCACTTTATGTACGCGATCATTTTAACCAAAAGAGTTCTGCGCTGTTAATAGGCAGACGGAGTATAAATATGTACGACGGAAGAATAATATATACATATGTACATATATATCTGCATGTGTTTTTATGCATTGGATTTAATATTTGCTCAAAAAAATACTAAGACAATATGCTAATTTATGGTTATATGCATATGTTCTTAGACTCTATTAACTGTTTTTTTCTTAATTTTCCGCCAATTTAACATTGAATTGATTTTTAGAAACCCCAACAATTAACACAATTAAGACTACGAACATAATATGCATATGCATATGTATGTAGGGACATACCAGTAACGTATTAATGCTGTAAAAAAGAGCACAGCTTCGGTAGAATGCACAAATGCAAGATCGAAAAAAATAGTCGATGTCTTCAGAACGAACTTTTAGTTGCCAAATATCTACCGGCGACAGCGTTATTGCTAAATATTGGCGACTTACATGTACGTATGTATGTAAATACATAGATTTACTCAAATGTACTCTCTTATTTGTTCCCTGAATGCAAAGTTTTGACCAATAACACACTCTTGACACGAGTACCAATTTATGCATACACATATGTATGTATGGATACATGTACATAAAGACGAGTAATTATTGTTAAAGATGCTTGGATGTGTCACGAATTTGAAACACAGTATTTTGAATTCATTATGAACGGATTTCCTGACAACCATTTGTCTTTAATGACTGACAATCGACATAGATATGTATACATGCACATATATATATATATACATATATATTTACTGTTATATAAAGATATGCACGTCAATGTAATAGGAGAATCATGCAATTTTGTTATAATTTTTGGTTGGATGTACACGTACAAAATGTATCCAATTCAAAAAATAATATAAAATATGTTAAATACTATAGATACGTAAATGATGATAAAACTATGGAAAATGTAGACCTGGGAAGAACTACAAATAAATTCTATACACAGAGTATTCGTGGATATTTAGAATTACAAACAATTCCGTATGGCCTCGCTGTTATCAATACCAAAAAATTATATAAATTAATTTATCTACTAATTAAAATATTACTTGTCAACAGTTTTCATTCGTTCACGATTTCACACGTCATACCTGAAGATACATACATTGTGCGGTTTAAAACTGATGATGCATGCATACATATATTATATATTTTTTTAACTTAAAAAAATTCACAACTAATTACTTATTTAAAATCCGATGCATCCGATAATTAACATCCATATTTTCGAATATAATGTTTAAAAGAGAGTATGAATCCGCATTGCAAAAGCTTTCGCAATCGAATATCGCTCTCACAGCTCTTCAACCCTACTTTTTCGCTTTTAAGGGTTGAATTTGATGAAATGTCTTTCTGCAAATTATATCCGCAGTTCTAAAGTCAACGTCAAGTGAAACAAACAGATTACTTATGATTGAAACGTTTTATTTTATTTAATAGGAAAACAAAAACATAAAGCTACCTTCCGGTTCGTGAATTTATTTCATAATTTAAGTTGAAAATAAATTACAAACGAAATGTATTGTGTATATACATCCAATTTTGTAACCGAATCAGTGAAAAGTCGCATATTACCAAAGTAGAACGCAAACCGTACATATCACCACAACGTAGTGGAACGGCTTTTAACTATTGCACAGTCCATCCATCTTCAATACAAAGTTTTTTTTGGAAAATTGTCCTTTTTGTTATTTACTTTATTGTTAATGTACAAAAAAGATTTATATTTGTATAACTAGTATTGAGGTTTCGTGAATCTTGGAAATTGTAAAAGGTGAGATAATATGTAATATATTCCATTTCCGTAAGTTCACTAAATACTCTTCATTTGTGTATATGCTTGTGTGTGTGGATTATCGTTGTGTGTTTCACATGTTGAAAAAATCGGCAGTAGAAATATTTCGTGATTTTAATTATTGTGTTTGATTCCTTTAAAACATATGAATCTTTAATTGAAAATTATAAAAATACGTACAAATGGCAAGATTGATTTTCCCAGCATCGAAGTACTATTTTGTAAGTACTTTTATAGTTTATTTTTTAACTTGTAGTTTTTTTGAAAAGAGCGGTTGCGTTCGCCATCACTTTTCCACAGACGCTTTTACTCTCTTCGAATGTAAATATAATGCAATGAATATGTGTACACATGTGCAAATAATTCGAAATTTCGAAGAAATACTAGTCACAGCGCCACAGCGTATACCTTGTTTTCGTCACGACCTTCATGACTCATCGTTGCTGATAAAAAGAGAGTGGGACACTTTTGGAACCCGCTTGAGGGGTTTCCCAATGCCTTAGTCGATTGTCATCACAAAACTTGTGAAACTTATGTGCCGAATAAATACCTATGTACGTACACCTCTGGTTGTCCATACATCAGTATGTAGTGTTTTAATTATAGAATAACTAGTTCTGTTTCTGCAAATTTAATTACATATATTTTTGCGAAAGTCTGGAACATTAATGAAAATTAATTTGGGATAACTATCTATACTCCTTTTACACTCTTCACATTTACATACCTATATACATACATGTATGTATATATACATACACTAGAAATTTAATATCTTTATATATATAAGTCGAGTTGGGGTCATTTTATTGGACAAGCTACATGTTATGAAAAGAATGCGAAATAAAACATGAGATGCGTTTACCCTCCTTTGACGCATTCATCTAAGCAAGGTAAACACCTCACAGCGAAAAGAAAGAAGAAAAGCCATGTTTCATATTTGTAAAGAACTCACAGTCAATAGCATCTCTTTAGAGGAACAACATTCGTACTACAAAATGTATTAATAGCCTCGAGCTTGAAATCATATCTACATATGTCCCCTCACGTACGTTCTATATTAGGAGAGAATGTTATGTGACAGTAGATCTTAAATTGTAATGCTAAGAAAGTTGGTTAGTAGTAAACGGTAATCCTTATAGTAAAGGTGCGCAGATTTATTGGTAAAAGTTTGTATTAAACAAAAATAGATAAAAATGTTTTGTCGTCGGTGCTGGATAAACTTTTCATCAAATGAGTTAACTGTACAATGTGCAGGACCATGTTCACGTCTTTTTCACGACAAATGTATTGGGTTATCTTCTTCTACAAGCATGGAAATGCACGAAAAAAAATATCTTGAATGGTATTGCTATGATTGTCGGAAACTATATCGTTTACAATTATACTTTGAGGTGCGAAGCTCAAATTCCCTTCGAATTACAGCAATAACAGTACACACTTCTGAAATTGAAATATTGACAAAAATTTTTGTTTTCACTTCAGATTGCTATCTGTGACGATTACAGTTTACCAGTTGATTTTGTTAAGAAACGGCCGTCCAGCTTTGATCCATGCTTAGCAGAAGCTATACCAATAAATCCAGAACATTGGATTCATCCTAGTCCACACACCGAATTTGTAAGCTAATACATATATAGTTATGCAAATTTGCGATTTTGTAATTATTTGTTTTAAATATTTATGCAGATTACATTAAACGAAAGGAAAGAAACGCAATTTCAAGACTTAGAAGCGCCACCTCCACCACCACCATCAGCATCTTTATCAACGTTACCAACAAACAAGACGACTTTGAATATACTTCCACCTACACATGTTTCGAACAGCATACAACGTTCTAATCAATCTGAACATACTGACTTACAAACATTAAACACCCACTCTATTCAATTAAAATCACATAACCAGAATAATCAAACGCAATCGCAACCGCAATTCCTTCTTCAACCACATCCTCCTCTTCCCACAACAGTAAAGCACGCATCGATTAAACTTATTGAAGGTTACTCAGATCCTAAAGATTCTAAGCGTCACAAGAAACAGAAACAGAAGAGATTAAAGCGAAGGGTAAATAGACATCAACGGTCTCCCCATCAGATTAGCGCCTCTAAAGATCAAAAACTAACTAAGCGTTCTAATTGCAGTTCAGGTAAGTTCGAGATATTATAGTATATACACATATATTGATTAAAATTGTGGAATATATATCTGTCCTCAGATTCATCAGGTCCTAAGTCTTCGGGTGATGAAAACAATGAATCCATAAAAGTTCCTGAACTTAATTCACCTGATAGCATATCTGACGACCTTGTGCAAGCATTACCTTCGCAATTATATCGAAGTCCTCGTAAATTGGTAGCTGCTCCATCAGATACTAGCAAAAGAAATCCGTCACCATATTACTACTCGGACATATTGAAATCGAAAGATAACGAGATAGGAGCGCCGGATAAGGATACAAAAAATAAAAGCCGCCAATCGACAGTTT